TGTTTGTTTCAGCTTTCCTGCCTGCTGCTCCCTGCTTGCTGTGCCTCTCTGCGTGCTCTCCCACCCACTGCACCAGAGCTGCTTCTCCAGAAAGGTCACTGCTTCTGCCTGCAGCTTCCCTGTGCTCAGAAGGCTACAGCCAGAATGAGGGAAAAGGTAGTCTGCCACCCTGCTCCCCACTCCATTTGGGTGAAATGCACACATAGAGAATTTGTGTGTAAGGCTGAAACAAATCAATGCAGTCTTTGTCCCATTGTAATTATCATTAGCCCCAATGTTATTTTTGCACCAGTATTTTAATCATAGGATAAGAAATCTGTCCCCAATATAATTAAAATGTAAAGATAATGATAAAAAAAAAAAAAAAATACAACTTTGTAAATAAATACCAGGCAGGAGATTAAAATTATGTCACTGTTTTTGCAGCAAGATAAAAGCATCTGCGAAGTTCATGGCTGAGAATTGCTGTGAGAATAACTTCTGTGTCTTAATTCTACAAAAATGACACTAATGGCAAAACCTGAATCATGACTGACTTCCCCTAAATCTAGAATTTCTTAAGTCTGTGTTAAAGAACACAACTTAGGAACAATTATTGACTGTTCCCTTTGCAGCGTAAAGACATTTCATCCTCTGAGTTTCCAATGTGTGGCTTATTTGTCTTCTAATTTACTTTAAGGGTATTTGCATGTAGATCAGCATATTTAGATAAGGTGAACCTCTCAATCATTTTAATTCTCAAAGATTAAGTGAAGAAGTTTAGTTTAATGGAAAAATTTGAAGCTAAGTCTTCTTCTAAGAATGGTTTAAAATCAGAATATCTCATATATATATATATGAATATATGAGATAAAGCTTGTATATAGCTGGTCTTTATGTGGGTATTGATGTGATGACTTAGGATGCTAACAAAGATCTGATCTCTTTGAGATCAGATTTAGTAGTTTAAAATTAACAAAGGAGAGGTGACACAGATATACTTGTATTTTATAGGGTAGATATTTAGTATTTCCTGGTGTAGTATTTATTTGAACACACAGATAATGGATTTGAGAAATCCACTGTACAGCATACATGGTGTTAAGAAAATGAATTAGTTGCCTGTTGTCCTCCAAAACAAACTATGCAAATACCATTTCCTCTTCAGTGACAGCAGTGTTTTAAATAGGGTTAACACTGGTTTTTTTTCAGCTGTAGTTCCACAACAGGGCAGCAGCAGTGATTCCTTTCTACTAATGGTTTTAGTAACCTCTTTCTATGTGCCAAATTTCAATAGTCCAGTTTGACATGAGGAGCTAGGATAATATATATAGATTATATATATATATACTTTAAGGCTATAATATAGCCTTAAAGCTATAGCTGAGTTCAGTGGAGTAGTCAGCTATGCTCAGTATATGTAAATACTAAGAATACAGAAGTAGTTTTTATGGCACATAAAACATGCAGTTCCTTCATCAGATCCATAAATTGTCCTCCACATGGAGTAAAGCTGCCCTGAGATTTCTGCCAGAAGTCAGAACCAAGATGACTGTAAGTACTTTACTTTATTTGTACTGTGGCATTATTAAAAAAAAAATAAGTTGTGTTCTCAAATTTGTTAAAAAGTAGATCTTATATATATATAAAATCAATATGTCTTGAACTCAGTGTTATAATATGCAATTATGTTTGCACAAGTCTGCAGATGAGCTTTTATTTTAAGTTCTGTTAGCTAAGAGTTTAGCATATAAATAAAAAATGAAGACTGATGGTGTTACAAGAACCAAGTACCCATTACAATTACAGCTGGAGAAAGTGGTAAGAAAAATGGATGTGGAATATTTATTTTCTATTTTAATACACAGTTTTTTAAAGATTTTAATTTTCCCATAGGCTCTGTAGCTATAACAGACTGCATTTTGACAGGCTTTTCTTTCACTTTTTTAGTGGACTAAACCCTGTTCCTCCTACTCAAAAACTATTCCTGTATGGGTGGTATCCCAGGAGGAGGCACAGGAGAACAGAATGAGGAGCATGCACAACAATTATATGAGCACTTCAGTGTGGATTTCTGTTTTAATCTTAAATAGGAATCTGGAAAAAAACAAACAAACAAAAAAACTATCTGAGCCACTCTGTATTTAAAAATCTATATTTTACTGTCATCTGGTAAAAGCTACTGTTGTCCCTAGAGTGGAGATCAGCAAAAATTCATGGTTTAGGTTCATTTTTCTTTCAAAGGAGTTGGAGGCAAAATGAACATTTTTAGATTGTGTTATGGAGGCCTGCTGTATGTGCTTGTTCTAATGTGAGAGAAATTGGAAAATACAATTTAAAAATAATTTTGAAACTTTATCGGTGGTACTTTTGGGAAAATCCGGTAGCTTTTACTGGGAATTCGATTTACAGGAGCCTGCAGAATTAAAAGAAGTGGGTATATAGACCTCATGAAGCCTTGATCCTCTTTTATCTTAGTCCTATAGTATTTGTTTATAAAACTATATTACAGATGACTACGTGTATCTTCTGCTCCTTCAGAACTACAGGTAGTTAACATATTTGCAATCGAGTATTTCAGTTTTTATAATTCTCTTTAAAATTATTTAATAATTTGCTGTAGGACTAGTATAATCTTAGAAAGATGCTGTAAAAAGCCAGACTGCAAATTGAGCAATGATGGAATTCCCACACATTTAGACTGGTAAAAAATAAAATTAATAAAAATTATGACCGTCATTTTTCATTTTCAAAAGTTCTCTTTTTTCCAACTTCCTCTTATGTAATCATAAAAATACACAGATTGACTCTGGCATAAAAGCTGACATTATCTCGGTTTGTAAATCTTGTGACTTTGTGTGGGCATTCCATGACTGTACTTACTATAGGCCTACTCCCAGTGTTCAAATCCATAAAAAACAGGTGGGTGCAGGACACCACTGAAAGAATGCTGAACATCTTCACTGTCATTTATGGTTAAAGAGAGATGAAGGTGGTTTGCCTCTTAGCAAATGTAGCTCTTGTGGAGTGGCAGAAATATGTATGAAGAGTTAGTAGCTAACCCCAGATGAATACATTAGTCAAGAGCTGTTCCTATATACCAACTTGTCAAGTATTTTTTTTTTTATTCAGTTTGATGCAGCCATCACGTGTAGTATATGCTATTTTGATTAGGAAGTAAAATGAAACAACACTAAATAAGTAGCTTATAATATGTCTTAACAGTTAAAGGCAGTGGTTTATATAACACGGTGAACTTTGTGCTCAGCAATACATAAAAGCTGGCTTGCTCTATTTTTCTAGCTGATGTATGCTCAGGACTAATAATAGGCCTTACGAATCACAAGCATTCATTAAGTGAGCCAACAGATGTTTTAAAGAGACAATAGTTGAGATCTAGACTGTTTGAAGTGAACAAGTAAACTAAAATGTTTTAAAAAATAGTGAATCTTTAAAAAATGTTACAGTAATGTGCTGCTAAACATTGAAGATCCTTTATTCTATGCAGAAACAGTCTGTTTATTAGTGGATTAGTGAAAACATCTTCTGAGACCAAACTTAAACCCATCTTCTTGGTTTTGAAATGAATTTGGAATGCTTGACTTTCTCATGATTGCCCCAAGGGAAAATAGGACAGTTTGTTTGTTTGTTTTCTCAGGAAGGCACAGTTTAGACATAGCATTTGGTTTTCAATGTAGAGCTGTTTTTCACTTAGTTATCCAGCTGGCTTGTTAAGGGTACAATTAAATAAATGATTTGCTCTGGATCACTAAGTGAATCAGTGACTTGACTGGGAGAAAAAAATTGGACTGGGAAAACTGAAAATACCAGTTCCCATTGCAGAACAGTTTCTCAGTAGCACTTAAGTAAATTAGAGGGATAACTTATTGTATTTCACAGTCATCTGCACAAACCACCAGCAGTATGTAGAGTAAGTTTCCATTGGTAGAGAAATGTGGATGCAGAAGGAAAACTGAATGAAGTTAACTCTTCATGTGATAGATGTCTGAACAGATTTATCAGACCAAGAACAGATGTTAAATCAAAATTTATTTTTTATAGCTATTTGTTTTTGTAGATATCGCTGTTAGGGGGAAGTTCAACTGAATAATGAAGCTTTCATGTTTAGCTTTATTTTACTAGCCTATGTGAATTGCAGTTCTAGGATTTTTCTCATTTACAAGTATTCAACTTGGTGTGGTTTTTGGTTTTCGGTTGGCTTTTTGCTTAATTAATTTTTCCTATTTTTGGCAGTATAAAGTTTTGTCAGTACTATCATGGAACTATCTTGCTGGTATGATGCCACCATTTTTTTTTTCCCCAATAGATTTAATTAATGCAAATGGCTTTTGCCTGTTGCATGCATAGATTGCTGGTTGCAATAATAAGATGTCATCTTCAGTGATGACAGAAGGCAATCAGACATGCACACGGGCTCATAATTAACATCACAGATTTTGCTGGTAGTGTTTAGTGGTAGTAAAAGAATAGTGAAAATTAGCATATTCTGATTTGGTTTCAGGGGCAGATGTGAATGCACTCCAGTGAGGATAGAGGCTCCTGCCACAGGCTTCAAACCTCTCCTTTCTTCCAGATCACACCTTCACCTCACTTCTTCAGGCCTCTCACTCCCTCCAGCATTGTTTTTCCACCAGTTCTTCATCTTCCTAGCCTCCCCATTTCTTCAGGCTCAGTCTCCTGGCTAGGCCAGTGCTGGCTTTCTCCTTGGCTTGCTGCCTGAGTCCCCTGCTGAACTCAGGATGTGGTTCTGCCAATCTAATTGTGGGCCGCTACTGAAAGGAGTACTCTCATTCCTCTGACTGTCTCCCCTGGTCTCCCTTGTGAGCTGAGTCAGGGAAGTAAATTTGTATGATTATATGACTGATTGTATTTCAGATCAGCTTTCTTAATCACTTCATGGTGTAAAATGAACAATGCTAAAAATTACAGCCAGGGTTGGAGGGGAGAGTGCAATAGGGTGAGAATGGACCATCTCTTTCAGCAGCACTTCACAACTAGAGTGAGTTTCATCATTAAACTTTATTTTCAGCTCCAAACTCCTCAGTGTGCCTTTTCTGTGTTTCCTCTCGGCTCTGTATCCCCTCCTTTTTAGGCTCTTGATTTGTCCTTGTCCTTTTTGCTTCTGTCTCATTTGTGGATCAGCTGATGCCAGCCACCTCACCCTACATCTTTTTCTGCCTCAGTCCTTCACTGGTCTCTTGCAGCAGATGCTGTATCTTCTCAGCAGCATGGCCAATGGTCCTTCACTCAATTACTGTTGGCAAAGTATTTGCTAAAAGTGGGAGAAAATTTGGCAATTAAAACATTATTTTTATAAACTTTTTTCAAACCATTTTTAAGAGGCTGTTCTACTTAGCAATGAAAAAGCATCTGAAATTTAACTGTTGTGTTATAAAAGTGGTCAAAATTCATGTCCTAGTAGATATGAAATTCCTACCAACTGAGCTTTCCTCATTTCAAGCTGTTTGTGTTAAAAATAAGCTGTGAAATAGTTTTCAACAATAGTTTGAGGGTTTTTTTTTTCCCTACTGTAAACAAATGCTGAATATCTGGGCAACAGTCTCCTCTGCGTAATGCAAGTCAGCTCCCATTGACTTCACAGGAGTTATATATGAGAGCAGAATCTTGTCTCTGTGAATAAAGGAGTTTTTTCAACAGTGAGGGGGCTCTGCACAATGAATGCATTTTTACCAGCCCTTTCTGATTCACTGGCAAAATACCAAACACAAGATCTGTTTCTGTAGTCTTTTTACTCTCACAATGACAGACATTTTCTTTTTCAGTTTTAGTGGGAAGTCTTTTGTGTTCTTTTTTTTTCCTCTTGAAAATTTGTCTTATGTTTCTTGCTATTTTGTACAATGGAGTAGAGTATTTCTCAGTCATAGTATTTTTGAAATCAGTTCCCTCTCTGACCTTGTCAAATACCAGTTCCTGTTTTATTCTACCTAAGGACAAAGAAGCAGGTTTGGGTCTAACTTAGGGATGCATCTCTTGCAGTTCAAACACTGAAACTGAACTGGACAGGCCCCTGTGAAAGTTACAGCAGCCATCACTTGCCAATGTTATGTCTGAGCATCATACACCCTATGCACACAACTAGAGAATTGGATGGCTTTGAAGTTATCAGGAACTGTCTGATGGACCTTTAATAACACAAAATACATTTATTGCGTGCCCCCTGTAGAGTCTTCTATACTATAGCGATTCCCTTTGTATTTTATTTTCTCCCCAGATGTGTGCCTGACAATTAGGAAAAGAACTCGGCAGATATCTTCAAATGGTTGGAATTCTTGGTGTTGTTATTTTTCACTTTTAATGTAATCATACATTATTCTCTTAGTAGTAGGTCAAAGTGGTTTTCTTCCTATTGTACTTGTGAGAACATGTATTACTAATTATACTGTTATTATTATTATACTGTTAAAAGATCAGATGTCTAGATAAAAATGCCCTTCCGGAGAAATAGTGAACTGAGGACCATTCCTAGAGCTGACTTCTCTGGGAGGCAGTGAGGTGTAAGCAGTAAGAGACCCCAAACCTGACAATCACAGAATATCCATATTCAGAACAACCAGTGTTAATTATTCATTTCTCTCTGTGTAATGGAACAAAGTATTTCAGCACCCATCTGACTGAACATGGGCAAATTGTGGACAGAAGAGGCCATCAGTCTTGTATTCTGAACAGTGTCTGCAAGTAGGTGATATGGCACATTGTGTGGTTTGATGTTATGCAAAGTCTTGCTGTCTGCTTGTACACAACTGGGTTTCTTCAAAAGCTGAATCAAAACCAGTCTTGGACAAGGCTATCTAATCTCATGTTCAAAGCCAAGCAAAGGTATACCCAGTATCTCTCCTGATACAAGCTATGTAAATATTTAATTGCCCTCACAGTCAGGAAATGTCAACATTGGGTTTGTCTAGCTACGGTTTCCAACAAATGGATACCATTCTGCCTTTGTCAGCAAGGTTGAAAAGGTCATACTATTGAGGTCTCTTTTCTGTGTATAAACATCTGTTCAAAGTAATCAAGCCCCCTGTCAGTTTTATTTATTTCAAACACCAAATAAGCAGAAATATGTAAACTCTGTATTGTGAAGGCTTGTTTTCTGCTCCCTGAATCATTTTTCAGCACTCTTCCTCATCACTAATATTTCAGTTTTCTTCCAAGTATAAACATCAGAGGTGTGTGCAGATCTTTGTCATGTTTCTTCACCAATGTGTGCACAGAGATCTAATAGAAAGAAGACATTTGTCATACACACTAGATTGCATTAGTTCTTTTTGCATCAGCATTATTTGTGCTTGGCTGAACCATTGATTCTCCCAAGTCTTTCCCTGGGCCGCTCTTCGTGCAGGCATACCCCACGTGTTCCTTACGTGTCTGCTCGCATCTGTGTAGATGGTATTGGATTTAACCATATGACTATGGTTAATATAGTTATACAATATTATACAAACCATAAGTTTGTAAAAATAGTCTTTCCTCCTCATTTGTTACTACACTGATCTTTCTGTCCTTTCTAAACATTACCTCCGTAAGCCTTTATGTAACCACCTGGGCTGTTACAGTTTTGGAATCAGCATCCTGAAGGATGCCACCAGAAATGCATCAGTTCACTGATACCTTGCCAGTGACAACAGCATTTTGAAATGTCAGTGAGCTAGTTTTTAGGGTGGTTATTCCTATATAAATCAAGTGTTTGGAATCAAAATGTCTTATGGCACTAAACCAATGGCTTGCAGAAGTCCAAGTTTAAAATGGAAGTGCAATTACTTTTATCAGCTAAAGATTTAATTATTTAAAAATAAAGATCTTTGATCCTACTTGTCAGAGCCCTGAGCACGCTAATGGGCATTAATTGCCCCCACCAGCCTCCCTTGGCCTTTATGCCCATGGCCCAGGAGCCCCATTTCACTCAGATGGGGCTGCCAGGGAAGCACTTTCCCCAGCCCAGCCTGTACTGGCCATGGCCGTGCTGCTGCTCAGTGCCAGGGGCTGCGTGGCTGGGCTCTCTGGGCCCCGTGCTGCCCCACTGCCCCCCCAGCCTTGGGGTGCCCGTGGCTCCCCTCCTCAGGGGCTGCTGGCCTGCACTGCGCACTAGCCCGGTGTGTGTAAGAGATGATGTAGGTCTGGGAAGGGTCAGTGTCTAGCTAATGACTTTATATTTCCATGTGCCAAAATGTTTACCCTTCTGCCTTTCAGAAAGAGTTTGTAGTGGCAATGAGGACCGCTGCTCCATCCCAGTCAGGCTGTGGTGTATGAGGCTGCTGAGAAGTTGTGACCTCAGTGAGCCAGAGCACACAAGGATTGCTATTTTAAAAAGTTCTGGTGGTTGGGGGATATTAGATCCTCTGAAATCCAGTTTTAGCTTTTCTATGATGTTTTGTAAAGGTTAATATATTTAAATGTTGATGTTTCTTTGTACACTGTACGGTATGATCACTCCTGATGTTTTATCTGAACCACCTCCCCCCAGACTCTGAACCCAGTAAATCTGGATGCTCATCAGTGTGGTGTGGTGCTCCATCCGGATCATTGATCATTGTGGTGCTCCATCCAGAAAGAAGGCTGTGTGCACCAGCTACTGACATATTATTCTTTAGAAGTGCAGAAAAAGCCTATTTGAAAAACTGGGAAAAATAATTTGGCAAAGCAGTTGTTAGAATTGGTGACATTTAGAGGAAAGAGGAATGGGGATGGCTTATTTTTGTTCTGGACAAGGAGTTTGTTGGCTGTGCAGTGTGAAGGAGTGGTGAGTGATGCGTTGTTTTGATGCGTTATTTTTCTGCTGTTTTTTTTTTTTTTTGTTGCTAACTGAATGATTTACTGTAGCAGAAGAGAATACTGGAATCCAACAGGATGCAGATCACTTTATAATATGCCTTATGCCGTGAACCATGCTGCAAACGTTACAAAGATTTGAAGTAACTGTGCCGATACATACTTAACTCCTCCTGTTAAGACCTCTCTTAGTGTTTACTTCTGAAGGATGCCGTCTGAGCCCTGTGCTCAGGTCTGCTCCCCGGCCCAGTGACCACCTTTGTGCCGGCTGTGGTGCCGCAGCTCCGTGGGGCTCTGCCAGCCCACACCTCGCGCTGTGATTTGCGCCGAGCTCCGGGTGTGCGGCGGGGCTCCTGCTGCGCAGCAGAGCAAAGGGGCTCAGGGCTCTGCTTTCTGCTGGGAGATGGGGAGCGCTTCGTGCCCTTCTTTGACGTCTAGGGCTGTGCCATCAGATGACTTTTTGGAGGTCTTACGCTCCAAGAAGCCGCGTTACCGACACATCTCGTGCGATTCCTTGCTTACGTGTGTTGCGTTCTTTTACCGAGGCCCTCAGCACCGTGGCTCGCTTAAACGAAGTTCCAAGGCGCGAAGGCCGGGCTTCTGCCCGGTGCGGTCACGGCGCCGGCGGCCGCGGCACCTCGTCGGTCCGTGGGGGAGCGGCGCCCCCCCGCACCGCGCACCCCTCGCACGGGCGCGGCGCCGCGTGCCAGCGCCCGCCCGCCGTCCGCGAGGGGGCAGGCGCGCGGCGGGCGGCGATTGGCTGCCGGGGCGGCGCGAGGCGCGGCGGGGCGGGGCCGGCCCTGCGTGCTGCCCCCGCGTCCGCTCTCCCGCCGGGCGCCGCGGCGACAGTTACTTAGCGGCCGTCCGCGGGCGCGCGCTGCGGCTCTCTGCCTGCCGGGCTCCACCGCGCTCCGCGACGCAGCCGCCTCCGGCCTCGCCATGAGCAAGGAGACGAAGAAGCCGTTTCGCCAGAGCGTGGCCGAGTGGCGGCAGTTCGTCTACAACCCCAACAGCGGCGAGTTCCTGGGGCGCACGGCCAAGAGCTGGGGTGAGCGCGGGGCGCGCGGCCCGGTGACCGTTACGGCCGGTACCGCCGGTGCCGCCATCGCGTCTAAAAATAGCGCGGCGGCGGCGGCGGGGGGGCGGCCGGGAGGGGCAGGTGGGGCCGGGGGCAGCGGCGCGTCCCGAGCTGACTCACCCCCGCCTCCCGCCCAGGACGCAAATGCGGCGAGCGGGGCCGCGGCTCCTCCCCGCGGGAGCCTCGGCGGGGCGCGGGAGCGCGGGGGGCTCTGCGGGCCTGGCGCCGCCTGGGGCGCCGCGGGGCCGCGATGAATGGGAGCGGGGCGCGAGCCGCGGGCCGGAGGCCGCCGAGCGGGAAAGTTTCCGCGCCGCGCTCTGCAGCCAGCGGAAGGACCGCCGTCGCGCGGCTCCGCGCCGAAGCCGTCCCGGCTCGGGGCTGCCGCGCTCCCCGACTCCTTAAAGCGGTTCCTTAAAGCGGCCCGCTCAGGTAGCCGGCCCGGCTGCGGCGCGCTGCCGCAACCTCGCTCCTTCCAGTACAAATATTTGGGTTTTCCCGGCGCGTTTTCTCGTATCGGACGGCCGTACAAACGCTTAACGTGGGGTTGTTGCTCCAGCCCTCGCGGGACGCGTTCACTGAGTTGAGAAAACGCCGCGTCCCCTCCCGGGGCTCGGATGTGGCCGGGCCGCCTCAGAGCTGTGCTTACAGAACCAACAAGGCTCGCAGCGTGGCACCAGCGCCGGGCCAGCGCGGCCGCGGCCTTGACACCGCCTCGATGGATGCTGATGTCGAAATCCGAGGAGGAGCCTGGAGAAGGCCGCGCTCTGCGCCGCCAACGGCTGTCCGTCAGGAGAGGGCCCTGCTCCGACGTGAGCTGCCCTCCATTCAGATGGAAATAAGAGCTCGCGGGCTGCTCTGCCGCCTGCATAGCAAGGGAGAGGAAATTTCCACTCTGCCGGGCCCGGCCGTCCCCGCGCAGGCAGGTTTCCTCAAGTGCGTGGGCTGCGCGAATGGGCGCGCGGTGAGCGGGAGGCTGTGCGTGACTGACGGGCACGGGGGCCGTGGGCACGTCGCTGATCGCTGGAACTCGAAAAGCAGGGATCCTGAAACAGCCTTCTTGTTGGAACCCGAGGGATAAATCAGTTACAGTGTCGCCAGTCCAAGGCCAACAGATAACACTTTGTAGCTAATAGAACTGCTGGGTAATTGAGCTGCTATTTTGTTTCACAGCCGGCTGGCTTGATGAAAGATGTTTTTCTACATCCGGAAAGTGCACGTAGGCTTACATAGCGGTTTAAATAAGTGATACTTCATTAGCTTTCTTAAGGGGTTTAGTGATTGACGTGTGCTTTGTGGTGCAACTTTCCCTTAGGTGTACGTGAAGAGGTGACTGTTTAACAACACTATTAAATGTCACTGTAATTTTTTGTCAATATTTGTCCTGATGTTTTGCAAGTAATATCTCGTGCTCGTTTAAATTACCTGTCTGCATATATTACGTAAAAATAATTTTGGCTCTGTTAAGATGTGATATATGTTCTGGGGACTTCAGTACTTGATGTCTTGGGCCCCATGGCATCCACAAAGTAGTGTGTTTCTTTTGTTTTGCTTTTAATTGCACAGCACTCGCTGAGTGCATCTGCTAATGGAGAATACACAGGGTTCAGTCTCGCTTCTGCTTTTGCATCAGTGTGTGCTCTGAGGGCTGTCCCTCTGGCTGCTGCTCCCCTGTGGCTGCTGGACTCCCAGGGGGGAGGCGGGGAGGCAGGAGTGGCTCTGGCTGCTTTGCTGCCTGTCTGCTGGGCCGTGGTGTCTCCAGGGACAGCGTGGTAGGAATTCAGCTGGCTCCGATTCTTTCAGGCGTATTTCTTTTATCTCAAGACAGTTTCTTCTCAAAAATATAAAGAAATTGTTAAATAACTATTTGCTGTATGTGCGTGTGTTGCCCTGGTCTAAGGCAGTGCTGGAGGCTGATCAGAATTGTGACCGCAAGTCAGTCAGCAGCTTTATGTGGCTAGAGGAAATATTGGAAATTAATGATGGATGACTTAAGTTTGTGAAGTTCTCAGCTGCAAGGCACACACAGTCCTCGAAAACATCAAGAGAAGGAGGATTGGTGCTGGGGTTCTGCGCTGGGTGTTATGAGCAGGGCAAAGAGAGGAGAACTTGGAGCACTGCCACAGGGTCCTTCCTGTAAGGAAAGAGAAGATTGGTATCTGCTCTACATGTAATGACAAGATGCTGTGCCTGCCTGAGGCTGCAGCAAGAATGCTGAGTGAGATCACTGCTAGACCCCAGAAGTACTGAAGCTGTGGTCAGGCCTGTGATGTGATGTCAGGTCTGGCTAAGCGTGAAGCTGGTCCTGTCAGGGTGTTCAAGGTAGAGATGACGTCGTCTTGGACAGTGTATAAATTCTGGCCTACTGGGAAGTCTTGAATGCTTGGCAGTATCCTTCAGTGCAGATATGTGCTTGAAGTTAAGGCACAAAACTAATACAAGTAACAAAAAACCAGAGGATTCAGATTTGCTTTGTTTGGTTTTCACTGTGTTCTTGCTGGGATGCGCAGCACTGAATGTGCTGTCAGAATGTGTGTGGATGTGTTGGTGTAAAGCAGGTGGGCCAGAAGGCCGCCTTAATGTTGGTGGGAGTCACCAGTCACAGAGTTGCCTTCTGCAGTATCTCTAGTAGGAGCTGCTGAAGAACAATCCCAGAGACGAGGAGATCATGCAGCATGTAATGCATACAGCCATAAAGACAACGTTTCATTTTGTTGGTGCAGGTAATGTCACACACTTGCTTTAAGGTCTGTTGTGCATTTATATTAATGCACGTAAATAGCTACCTGCATGTGACATGTAGGCAGATCTGCCAGGCTGGTTTGTGCCACGTTGACTAGATGTTTATCGTTTTGTCATGTAATGTTTGGAAAGCCTGTGTTTGTCATGGAGATCATGGCCAGATTTTGGGTATCTTGACCTTTTACTTGAGTCAGACATTTTAATTTGCAGCATGGATAAGTGTTTTGATTGTTGCAATGAACTCCAGGTAATGCTGACACCAATGTGTTGGTTCAGAAAGAGCAGTTTTCCAGTACTGCAGAATATGGATATGATGCTTGTGGTTTTCTGTGTTATTATTAGTGCTCATTGGTGAGAGACTTGAAAGTTTGGTGCAGAGCTGTGTGTGGCAGTCCTGCAAACCATGGAGTGAGCTGAGCAGTGGCTGTGCTTGGGATAGCTGTGGAGGAGAGCTTTCCACTGTGAGTTGGGCAGATCTCGTTTCCTGACAAGAAGTCCAGCGTGATGTGAAGTTATTTTGGCTGAGCTTCTTGACAAGTAATGGCTTGTTCTTTGTGATTAGCTTAGGATAATTAATACTAATAGGCTCACAAAATTCAGCGTGCTTAGTTTGGTGCCCTTGCAAGTTTTGTTTTGTTTTTCCCCTCCCTCCCCATTTTTTTCTTTCTTTTTAATGAGGCAAAGGAGCATAGATAGGGTACTTTATTCTAATGGACAGTGTTCTGCAGTGTGCTTACAAGCTGTCTTAGATTCAAAATCGTTTTTCTGTGTGCATACATGTGCTTTGCTGTACTGAAGAGCTAGTGCTGTTCTCCAGGCTCTGAAACAAATAGGGTCTTCCTCTCCCTACTGCACCTGGTGAGTGAGGCAGGAACAGTAGGAGGCTGTTTCCTTGTGAAGTCCTATAGCTCTGTGAGGTGAGGGGTGTGGACCAGAATGGGTTTAAGTTGACTTTGGAGATCCTGGAAAAGAGATCTGACCAAAGATTTTGGGTTTTTTTTTGTTCATTTTGTGATACCCAAAGTGCATGGAGTATTCATCAGATCATTGCTCTGTTTTGGATTCAGTTGATGCAATTGTAAAGCTTATAGATAAAGCAAATTGGTGGTGTCACAAATACAGATGCAATTTCTGTAATGGTTTTTATTGATGAGGATTTGTACTGCTTGATTTATATGTCTTTTCAGCTTCTAAGCAGTCTTAAAAATAGTTTATAATAGATGTCCAGCTTCTTCAGTAGGGAACAGGACTATTCCTGCGTTGTTTCAGGTACTTTGCTGTGTAACTTCAAATCACTGTGTTGTATATTGTGCATCAGTAGTTCCCAAATGTTTCTTGAATAGCTGATTGCTTTCATATTATTGCAGGTTGGTAAGTAACTTTCTCAGCATGTGAAATTGATAAATAAACCAAAATCAGTATCCTGTAATGTTCAGCTGGTTGCTGCAGAAAACTTTTGTTATAGTAACAATAATTTGGGAACCAGCTAGTTACTGTTGTATACATACACTGGATACTTTCAGGAGTAATACAGACACTTGTATCTCCTGTTGTCATGGCCTACTGGTGGCAAAAGGCACGTGGTTTCTGGGCAGGAGCCAGAGCTTAGGCTTCCTTCTGTCATCCCGCAGCAGACAGGACTCATCACTGAGCATTGCCATTTTTGCTTTTGAGTTTTCCTTTTCTATGAAAGAAAACTGCACTTGAACCTCTCGTATAATCATGTGTTGGTGGTGGAATGTTGGGTAATGACTTTGATGTGTTATGTATCTTTGGCTTCCCCATATCAGTCTCATTGCTAGAATGTTTGGTTAAAGGTGAATTTGTGTCACTGTGTTATATTTTTAGATTAGA